TGTGCAACCGTCCACCGAGGCCTTTAAAAAGCGCTGGGAATCCATGACGGGCGGCCTTCTTCATGGTCTGAACTGGGACAACGTTTTTGTTGCAGGCGGGATTATTCTTGGTGCCATCCTTACACCGGAGGTTTCAGATGCCAATCGACCCGAAGAGTGGGTGGCATCAGACGTCGACATGTATATCCATGGTCTGAGCGCGACTCTCGCGAACAAGAAGATAGAACATATCGCAGCGACGTACCAAAAGAATTTACCCCCCGGGTCTCCCTTCCTCGTCGTTCGAAATTCGCAGACCATCACTCTCTACTCTGAGTGGCCACGACGCCGAGTTCAGATTGTCCTGAAACTGGTCAAGACCCCGAGAGAGGTGCTCTTGAACTTTGACCTTGATATTTGTGGATGCGGTTGGGATGGCACCGAAGTCTATCTGTTACCTAGATGCGCGAGGACCTTGGAGAGTAGGTGTTTGCTATCCAATCCTAGCGTTCTCCCAGTGACAATTTTTCATCAGCTGCAACGAACACTTTTGTAATGGACCTTATCAACGGACACTATCTCGGAGACCGTAAAGTAAGTTGCGACATGTTTTCCTCCGAGGAATAAACTAAGATAACCACCGAAAGGCTACGCGTGACAAAAGGTTATGGCTTTTATGGTATTCTTATACTTGGCTGACGTCTGTTCAGGGTATTCAAATACGCGAGCAAGGGGTACGGTCTGCGCATCCTTCCGTCCTACATCTCGTCTTTGGCCACATACAGTTCACCTGCCGATCTATCCGCCATAGCGCGGGGTGAAGAACTCTCGACCACTGTCTCTCTCTCCGAGTTAGCTTCCGAGGCTCGGACGTGGACGTCGGATGTCATCCAAGAGTATCTCGAAGTTGGGCACAATAACCGACCCTTTCACTGGCCTGCGGGGCATTACAAACCCGTAGAAAGCGTAAAACCAGTGTTCTCGCACGCAATGTTGGAAAGTTACGGGCAAGTAACAAGCGAGCCCCTCGGCAGGAGTTGTTTAACCGGGTTTTCCCTCTTTATGCGCCATGTGGCCCTGTGGGAGCAGGACGTTGAAGGGAAGATTGCGTGCGCATGATTTTTATATTGTGTTTGTTTCATTCTTGACCGTTTTATGCGCAGGATATTCGAGGACCTTTGGGCAACGGACACATACGGTGAAGGCGAAAGAGTTGAACTCGCCTATGACGATTCACCCGCGTGCGTCAAAACCGTCTTTTCTCGCTGACCCAACGCTGATTACAGATAAAGGTACAAATGGGACCGCAGTTTCAACTTCACCGAATTCAAGAAGGCCCTAGACGATCACAATAAGCAAGAATCCCGTGTGGCCGATGAAAATTGTTATTATAGCAGTAGGGAAACGAGAGCTCCTATCCCTGCTGCCCGGATCACATACGGCGACTCGGTAGCTGCAATATTCCTACCAGAGCGTGACATCCTGGTGCCTCTCCGACTCGAGAGGTCTTTCATGGAATTTGCAAATACCGAGACAGTCGCGGCTCTGCAGCAAGCAAGAGAACTAGCGGAACTTTCCGAAAACGACTGCGGCGCGCCTTTGACTTTGATTGACGACGGAGACTCAGACTCAGAGGTTCTTGCGGTATGGCGACTGAATAAAATACTGAATTGGCAAATGCTTGACCGCCGCATCGATGAGTGCGGCCTCACTAGGTTTTCTCCGTTCGCGTTGCTTACCATCTTGTTTGAAGAATCCGAGAGGTACTTTGGGCCTTTCATCGAGCGAATGAACGGATGGTCGTCGAGGAAGAGAACAGACACAGGTTCCTCATGACCAACATATCGAAGCGGGCTATCCGGAATACAGTCGAGGATGAACAAGAAGCCTTCGTGCGTTGGGTGACGAGGCAACCATACCACGAGGAAACCAAGTTCCATGCCATGTGGTGTTTTGAGGAAGAATACTAGGCGGGCGAGGCAAGTCCGATGACGTGTAGTTCAGCTTGTAGCTCCACAAGTTGTTTCCCGAAACGAACCGTTCAGTCTTTCATAGAATTACTCGATGGGTGCTTATAAGTGACGGGCAAAGCTGAGGTTGTCGCTCGGCCCGGAGTCCGGTGGACCATTGTTTGTTCACCCAACGCTTAGTTAAGCTGATTGCCTTCGCTTAGATTCAGCACTCCGGATCGACCTCTCTCGTTTCGCGTCTCCAAGCTCTTCTACGGTCATTATTCCGTCTCAAGAGGAAGAAGACTATTGGTTCGGATCAATTTCGTCCATAGCGTTCGAATGACCGTGACCCATCGGAAACCGCCACTCCAACCTGACGAAATTACAAGCAAGACTATGCCACCGTGTACACCGCTGCATATTCGCTAACATTCCACTTCTACAGCCGTCAACGAACCGGGCGTTCAATTTGAGTGCGATTCGTGTGCATGTGACCTCACCCACACTATCCGCGTGAAATGCGCAGATCCGGCTTGTCAGTCAGAGGACGGTGTCGATATATGCCCGCCTTGTTTTTGTGCAGGAAAGGAGTTCGGGAACCACCTTAGAGGCCATGCATATCGCGTTATTGTAAGCTACTACAGCCACTGAACCTTTTGTGTTCTGAAATGAAGTTTTGCGTTTAGGAATTCAACTCTTATCCTATATTCTCCGCGGACTGGGGTGCAGACGAGTAAGTCACTGTAGTCGCTATTTTATCCCATTAATTCATATTCTTCCAGAGAGTTGCTCTTGTTGAAGGGCATAGCAAGCCATGGTCTCGGCAATTGGAAGAAGATCGCTGAACACGTCGGTACCCAGACCAAAGAGGAGGTCGAGAAGCACTATAATAGTGTTTATGTTGATTCCCCAGATTGGCCGCTGCCCGTAGGTTTATTTTTACAGTGTTAACTGCTCCCACTGACACTCCGAAGCGCATGGACGTTAAATTTGATATACCGCCTGAGGAATTCCAGGACAGAAAGCGGCGGCGGATATCAGAAATGAACGCGATCCCTAGTTCACCCCCGAAAGTTGCACCTACCTCTGCGCCAGGGATACATGAAATTGCTGGTTTCCTTCCGGGGCGTTTGGAGTTCGAGCATGAACTAGACAACGAGGCCGAGGATCTTGTCAAAGATCTGGAGTTTGGGGTGTGTCTGGACTTTGGCGGTGACCTTATCATGGAGGACGAGAATGATCTAGACGTGAAGGCCCGACTTCGGTGGGAGGAGGACAAGAGAAACGGGGTCGTCCCTGGTTCGACCGTCGTTGTGCCAGAACGCAAAGTGGCGCATAAAGGGAAGGGACCTATGCCTTCTCTCAACGGCTCTTCTAATGGACCGGTAAACGGCTTTCGACCGAATATCAACGGCGACGCTGCACACACAAAACAGTCTTCTGAGTCCGAAGATGTGGTTATGGCTAATGGGACGGGCACTGCGGATGAAGAGGCAGAAGAAGTCACACAACTACCTCCCATTGAAACCCAACACTCCCTAGCATTCAAGCTGACGTTTTTAGAGATGTATGCTCAGCGGATTGAGAAACGTTTGGAGAGCAAGGCACTCATGTTTGATCGTGGCCTTTTGGAATATAAGAAAGTACGACAGTTAGTTCAATGTCTCTTTGCACTCTGACGTCTTTGTAGATGCAAGCAGCAGAAAAGAAAAGGCCAAAAGAAGAAAAGGACATCATAAATCGACTGCGGCCTTTTGCACGACTACAAACAGCTGAAGATTATGAGTCATTTTGCGCTGATATACTTTGTACCCATGTTTTGCTTTATTCCTGATCTGTGCATTAATCGGACTTTTCGACCAGACGAAGCCATGCTCCGCAAGAAGATTCAAGACTTGCAACAATATCGACGCCTAGGCCTATCAACTGCAGCTGACATTGATAAGTATCTGAACGATGTGGCCAAAAGGGTTCGTGCATTCATCCTGTGCTGTTTGACTTTCTCATTCCCCAAAAACCAGACTCAGATCAAAAACAACCCGCGAGAATACTATGCCGCGGAGAAACAGAACAGAGCCGCTGGACGACAATCATCGGGCCCTGATCGTTCCAGCCTAGCTCCCTTTGATTCCGAGGGTAGAAAGAGCCACGATCGCGAAACGACACCGAGACTGGCCGATGTTGTTTCCGCCCCTGCCAACGCCCGGAAGCGAGGTACTACTACTTTCAGCTCATTTTACAGCAGGCTCTTATCGAGATTGTCAGCTCCCTTGAATCTGGCCAACAGCCCATCCCTTCACCTCCTCACGCCTGTCGAACAAACACTTTGTTCCCAGCTTCGCATCCTCCCCAAACCTTATCTTGTCGTCAAAGAGACTCTGGTTCGTGAGTATGCAAGAAGAGGAGGCAAGCTACGTCGGAGAGAAGCGAGGGATCTCGTCAAGATCGACGTCAACAAAACCAGCAGGGTTTGGGATTTTCTCGCCCAGGCTGGCTTTTTGCAGATTAATGCGGAGCCCACGATATCTAACCCCGCTTCCTCAGCTCCTACAGGTCTAGTTCCATCCCCTGCTACATCTCAAGACCCTAGGTACACGCTCACTATCTATCCCCTTGACCTTTTATTTACATATTCGTTAGTCTTGGCACGCCTGTGATGCCGTCACCACTCCTTCCGAACGGTTCCTTTGCCTCGCATTCGTCCCCCCCACACCCCGTAGCCACAGTCTTGCCCGGTGCGGTTCTTGCACGGCCGAATCCTCCGGGGCCTTCATCCGTCCTCCATTCCTCCTGGGCACCACCAGCCACGTAGTTGATTTTTTTTCCATCTCCCATTGTGGAACCGAGATGCTGTTCGTGGACTGTATATTATTGCGTGTACATATATCAGCAGCGACTTCGATACATATTCCGCTTCGTGCTTACTTGCGTCATCGTCGCTGGAAACAGGATGTTAAGACCTTGAATTTTCCCGATTTAAAATTTTTTCATTCCTTTCAATATATAGTGTTACTTTAGTGAGCGCAAGGGCCCCGACGACGAGGCTAACGCTGGGTCCACAGCTGGGACGGCCGGATGACCGAGTGGTTAAGGTGTCAGATTTAAGTAATGCTTGTTTCCTGATGGGTATACACCCGCGCGAGTTCGATCCTCGCTTCGGCCACGTGTTTTGCTCAGGAACACTATTTGTTTTCGTTGCGGCTTTGGCTTCGTCGCAACGCACTCGTTAACTAAAGGAACGTTGTACTGACTCTTGCAACCTCCACAATCCTTTGTTTTCATCTTGGGACGGTCCATTACCTCGCCACGATGAAGATAAACAGGGTAGATGGATTGTATTATTCGTACAGGGTATCTGTCAACATTGGGCAAGACATTTAAAAAATCTGAAACTAATTCAGTTCTCCCGTAGTCGAGTCGTGAGCAACTTACACCAAAACTACCGCCTCCGGGCGGCTGCCGGACTCTAAAAAAACATGTGTGAGTCTTCGCACGGCCTTGACCAATAAATTCGATTCTGACCTGCGAGTCGGTTTAAATTCTTCAGGCTCGTCCGAGCCCCAAAAGCTCTGAATGCTGCTATTACCACCGGGGGCCTCCCGAACGCGTCTAGAACCAGATGAATTTATACAGAAGTTGGATTTTTGTCCGCGCACCTGCTGGGCTTGATGTCAGTGCCGGATGTAACATCACTCTCTTTCTCTTTCTCAACTGCCGTCGGAACTTCGGCCGTCAATTCAGGAGAGGCCACGGGCACGTTATTTTCCACTTTCGGGGGCGCTAGAGACAAGGCGTCGAGAACATCCTCGTCCCCAAAAATGTTGCTTGTTCGTCCCCCCGGAGGTTCGCGCACACGTCGGGTCGGTTTGAAATCAGCTGATGCAGCAGACTGAGAAGGGCCCGCAGACTCTGACAGGCAGGCTCGTCAATGGACCATCTCTTCTGTGGAAAAGCCTACCGGACTGCAAATTCCCCGCGGCAGGCGTTTCAGCAACCGTATCGCCTATTTTGCCAAATTTCACATATCCTGCAGGCAGTTATCTGCGGTTAGTTCGGGCAGGCAAAAGGAACGTCCATCCTACGCGGAAGCTTTTGAATGTTAGCAAAGTTCGTGTCTACGGTTGTACCAGTGTACCTGTCTACAGTCAGCCGAACGTATGGATATCGGTGAGTCCGTACTCACTTGAGGAAGTCCAGCAATGAGCGCTTGGTGAATACTATGCTCGTGGTGTCCCAGTCTAGCATGCCTATTGGAGATGTGATATATAAGAGTAGGTGGAGCAACGACGAGGCAAACCCAGGTTGGCAGCCCAGTCCCTCTCACTCGAGCTGACCGGGGATGTAGGGGTAAAAGTAGAGGGTGAAGACATTGGAGGAACGCGTTGGGGTCAATCAGGTTGAGCTTGAGTAGCGAGTTGAAAGAGGCAAACAGCACGTGCCACCCATGTCGCTGAGATTCATCGCCTCATGTAGCACGCTGAGGAGAGCGTATAGCACGCTGCCCTCTGCCATTTACACCGACCCTTCAAAGGCAAACGACCCTTCCGTCTGCACCACCCCCAGCATCATCCATGCCCAGCGTCAACAACTCGACAGCGCGCTACGCGTCGACCAGGCCGGCGAAATCGCGGCCAACTACATATACATGGGCCAGATGTTCGTTCTAGGAAGGGATCGCGCGCTGAAGCCGCTGATTCAAGTTGGTTTTATGGTTCTACGTCACTCTACGTTCCATTTCATTCCAATTGCAGGAAATGTGGGATCAGGAGAAGAAACACCTCGCGGTCATGGACAAGCTGCAACTTCAGCACCGAATACGACCAACACTGCTCTCTGACGTTGCCAAAGTCGCTGGCTTTGGTTTAGGCGCTGTGACAGCGCTCATGGGCAAGGAAGCAGCCATGGCCTGTACAGAAGCCGTCGAGACAGTTATCGGAGAACACTACGACGAGTCAGCCCCGAATCCCAAGTTTCTTACCCGACTTTTAACCGAAACGCATATCTAGCCAGCTCAAAGAGATGGAATCGCTACCGTCGGAGCACCCCAGCATTCCGTTGTTGCGAGCCGTAGTGCGCGAGTTCCGGGACGATGAACTCGAACATCTGGACATTGCAGTCGAACACGACGCCCAACGGGCACCTGCACACGCTTTATTGAGCAGTATTGTTGGCGCGGGTTGCAAGGTCGCGATAGAGGTCTGCAAGAGGGTTTAATAGACATGCTTTGTTATTTCTCTTGTTCTGTGTGCAACTACTCCGGTTTGGGCGCGGTTGCTAACGACTGACCCCGCCGCTTTCCAGTCCAGTCCCATTTATTCTGCACAGCCATGAGTGCGGGTAACAGAAATTGATAGTACTGAGCGACCGACCTGAGTTGCATGTATGGCGAGGAATAGACCGATGGGTAACACCAATACTCCCCAAAACGAGGACCGCACCGTCCTGTTCGTCCAACGAAAGTGTTTGTACTGGTCTTCTCGCTGGAGCGGGCGACGCGTCAGCTAGCACGCGAGGCATGTGCCGGAGGAATTACCATGAGCGACTGCCGCTCAATCGCAGCATCCTGGACCTGAGAGCTTGTGAGAGGGGAGTCGGGCAAGAACAAGCCGACCAACCTTCACATGAGCTACTCGCAGCGACAGTCAGTGAGAGGATGGTAAGGAGAGGGGACGGATTGCTGACCGTGGTCCGTCATTGTAAAGTGTGTTGTTTGTTTGTTTCCACTCTTCCTCTTGAGCACACACCAGCATGGCATACAACCGTGAATGGGACCAGGGCAAGGCGTGGGCCCAACAACAGTCCTCTTGGAACGCCCCAAATACCCATCCCAGAGAAGATGACTACTATGCTGAGGGAAAGCGTAGGAAAATAAACGCCGGCGTCGGTCATATCTTCCCCGTCCTCTTTCCTCTTTTTCATTCTTTATTCAGGGATACGAAGCCTCCCAGGCGTACACAGAGAATGCCTACGACAACGCCTCGTATTCAGGCCGACCGTCCGACTCATCACAGGACCACATGCAACGGGGCGGCGCCGGTGGCGCTTTTGTCAAAAAGCGCCTGCAGCCATCGGAACCGAGCCCTCACGTCATCTTCTTGGGCTTGGACCCCGATTTCACCGAGGCCGATGTCTGTCGACTCCATCCTTTCCCGATCATTACTCTGTGACTGAAGTCGGCCCTCCAGCTGCAGAAATATCTCACCTCGAATGGCTGCAGTATCGAAACCGTCACAATCATCCGAGAGAGATCATCAGGCACTTGCCCATTCGTATCTCTGATTCTGCACCTCCATTAACGTTATTCGCGGTTGGATTTTACAAGGTTCCTCCAAGGGCTTCGGCTTTGCGCAGTTCCCAACAATTGAACATGCCCGCGCATTTGTGGATCCCCTCTTCCCATTCATTCAAGTCCCGCCCCCGGCGTCCCATGGCGCATCGGCCACGGCAGCATTCTACAAAGCCCTTGAGACTGGCCTTCCCCACAACGGACGGAGAGTCAAGATTGACTACTCACAAAGCGCTACTCCTCACGAAAAGGGCAGGATGAATCGCGGCAATTTGAACGATGGCACCCGCGACATTGGCAACTCCCAAGCTGCCGTCTTGCTATTCCGTGGCCTTGATCCTCTTTCAGGTCCGCAGGCCATCCACCAGGCAATGCTTTCTTCATCTGGTCCTGGGAAGGAGGGCGCAAAAGGCATGAAACGCATCATCCTGATCAAAGACAAGGTCACTATGGCGAGCTTTGGCTTTGCGTTTGTAGAATTTGTGGATCCTCAGGTTGCTTTGTTTCGTTTTCTAACCTCGAATTATCCGTACCTGATATCCCTATAGTCTGCGTCGGCTGTGCTCGCTGCAACAATGTCGCCACAAATCCATCCTTCCGGGTTTCGCATCTCAGATCGTCCCGTGGCGGCCTCATTCGCACATCCATACTCTTTTCAACCTATCGCGGATCTCATGATCCGAGATGAGGCATGTATTCCATCCTCAGCCAATCTTGGAGGGGAAGAGGGCACGTTGGTCCGGTACTGGGACGAGGGCTCCACGATAGCTCAGCTGGAATTCCAGGTAGAGCAGCCTGTACAACCGGCAGCAGCCGTTCAGACGAAGGAGAAAAAAGAAAAGAAGAAAATAAAGGGTACGCCCAATCTCAGTCTGGTGTAGAACCCTACTTACATATATCTAGACTCGGAGCCAGCTCTTCGTAGTGTCCCGGCAGCGCCATCTGCCCTACCCGTGTCTGATAAACCTGTTACGCTGAATTTCAACAAGGGATTAGGGAGAGCTGGTCCTGGTATGAGCGCATTACCGTAGTGGATATCCCGGGTTTTGAACCTTTTTTTATAGTTGCCGTCAAGGCAGTTTCGTTGGGTTTCTCCATGGATGACGGTGCGACTGGAGACTCGACTGGAGACAGTGAAGCCGATAGCGACAAGACCAAAGGTTAGATGCTCTGACACTTTTATTTTCACTACGGATTTTTAACCTTCTGTTGACAGCTCCCACCGGGAAAAAGGTTGCGCCCTTGATCGCGAGCAAGAAGGTACTGTATTCGACATAGACCCAGCGCTTCCCCAATCCCTGGAAACGCTTCTAACCAAGGCGCGATGTTATTTTCCAGACTGTTAGCAATATCAACAAGTGGAATCAAGTCCAGGAGGAGCTCACGAACGATACGAGTGTTGCCCTGCCGTCTTCTGCTCTGGTGACCCATCTTTCTTGGCTCTGCTCTCCAGAAAATTGGGTTTTCTTCGTTCTCATTGTATATCCTCTCTGTGCAGGCGCCTTCGAAGAAACCCGGGCCGTCTTCTGCTTCGGCGCTGCTGAACACCTCTGTTGTTTCGGTCGTTCCTGAAACAATACCCGTAGAGGAGGACTTTGAATTCTCGGACGTCGGCGCTCTGACCTGTCTACTCTGCGCCCGCCAGTTCAAGACCACGGACCAGTTGAAGCGCCATAACAAGGAATCTGACTTGCACAAGGCTCGCATTCCACAACCTTGCTTTCTATCTGTTTTCAACGATTCGGCTAACATTTGTTGCAACGGTCTTGTTCCACATTACAGAAAAACTTCAAGGATCCGAATCTGCGCGACGTTGCCCGCCAAAAGCTGGTCGCACGGCAAGCGAGCACATCTGGTGCGGATCAGCCAAAATATCG